ACTGATACTCATTAGAAAGACCATCACAACAACAAAAAAAAAAAAATCAGAAAAACATGCCACATCCTTGAAAAGCTATACATGTTATTTCACATATTTTCATCCGTCCAACTGAAAGATCTGAAAAAAAGCAGTTCACATGTTTCACTGTAGCCTTGATAGACCAACTGTACAGTTTTCACAGAGGTCAGCATATCTCAAGATTCAGTTTGAGATCTTAACAAAAATTCCACAACTGCTTGCTTTATATGTTTGTTACTAACCTTTCATTACGAAGTATTTGTTTAGTAAAATGACTGTGCTTTCCTACTGACTCAGTCTTTGGTTCAGGTTACTAATGTAAATATGGACTAAACCCACAAAAATCAATGAGTTTTCTTCTAGCTTTACAGTACTATGGAGAACAAAATTCATGCTTTTTAGTTACTTCTAGTTTCCAATTATCAGCACCGCTGCAGCTTACAATGAAAGCTTGTTCCTAACAATATTTCACTTTATAAAAAAAAAAATAAAGCTTGAATTACACAATCAAAAAACTTTTAAAAGACGACTATTTCCCCTGGAAAGAAGGACTATCCATTTGTTTTCTCCTATATCATCTATGTCAACAAGCTTCCGTCTCATCTGTTGACTGTGGATATACAAACCTTTTGCCAGTGCCTCTTTGTATTTCTCCTCCGCCACATTCAGGTTGTTCACGTAGGTAGCATGATGCTTGCTGTGGTGCAGCTGCATGATCTCTGCATTAATATGAGGTTCCAGGGCACCATAGTCATATGGCAAGTCAGGCAGAGTGTGCTTTTGCCTAGAGACCAAGCATCCCAACGGTGCTATCAACTTGGCACCGCTTCTAGAAGAGAAAAAACAGAAGTAGTCTTATTTAGTATGTGGGCTTTACCACTGAAGCGGACTGAAAGCATGACAGTTACGATCACCTACTTTAAGTACACAGGGCAGTAACTTAAAGAAGTTGAATTTCCATTTTTCTGGAGCTCAAAGCAAGCACACTCTGTATCTTAATTGCTAAGATGAATCCACATGAAGGTCACAGATATAGGGCTTCACAATGTAAAGCTGCCACTTCTCAAACCAAGCCCCCCACGCCACCATGAAGACTCACGTGCCCCCCCCTGCATGCAGGCAAGGCAAAAGTGGGGGGAGGATGAGAAAGTCAGCAGTACCATACTGACGTTCAAAGCTTCACCCAATCTTTATTGATTAAAAACAGAAGCCAAGATGTGCCCGATAAGTGTCCCTCCCTCACTACCCACAAGGTCCCTGCACTGGGAAACAAAAAGGCTGAAAAACCCGGCGTCACTGGGCTCCCAGGACCGAACCTCTCTAGCGTTACCACCGACAGGCATGCTCCCCTGCCCCGATGGCGGGGATCGGAAAACCCCACGCTGCGTGAGGACAGGGCGGCCGCGCTGTCCAGCACAGAAAACCACGCAGGCTCTGGCTACCCTTCTCCATTAACACCTTGCACTTGTCATGAGACGTGACAGCCACCATAACGACGGATAACCGCTGGGCTGGGAAGAAGGCTCATTCCCGAAACCCTTTTATGTTTTACTGGTGACCTTGGCACAAACCAGGGACAGAGCAGCAGCAAAACCCTCATGGCCCTGAAGACCAGCCGAGCGCGGCGGCCCTGGCTAGCAAAGACGAGC